TTGCTAATTAAGACTCTCTAGTTGAGGTTCCATATGTAGAGCCCTCATTTTGGAAAGTCTTAATGTCAAGTCCATGATTCCAACATCTGATGGCATATGAATGAATGTTATAAAAGATGTTATGTGCTATTTCTATGTCATATGTGTTATGTTTAAAATGTTATCTGCTCTGTGCAATATGATAAGTATGATGATGCATGTTACTCTCATGGCATGACCTTCCTAATCCAGATTTGGAAAGCTCACTGACTTTCCCAATCCAAATTTGGATAGTTCATTAACTTTCCAAATCAAAATTTGGCAAGTCCACTAATTTGACTTCCCATAATCATGTTGTTAGGTAAGATCTATTCTTTATCATGCATGTCCATTGTTTATGCTTGCATATACCCATACTTAGTACAAGTGTGTGCTAACCCTAGACAAATCCTACAATTTTAGGTACAAGAAAAGGTGGACGCTAATCTATAGGTTGATGCTTAATATATCCAGACGTTGAGTATTCATCCGGACTTGGTAGGCCCTCATTTCGAGAATGCTTGCTCATTTAAATTCTAGCTTAGTCTTAGGATTGATTTAGTGGAGTATTTTCCTCTAGCGTTTCTTTCCAATTTTATTTCAGACTTTGTATTGGTTCTATTTTGGGAAGTATTCAGTTATTGCTATATTAACTGTTTCTTTCATTTGATGATTTGAATATTAGATGGTTGATTGTGAACAAATTATGATTATATTAGAAAGGATAAGTTAGAATGTCAAGTAACAAAGAGTTCAAACTTTCTGCTAAAATTAACCTATATGAAGTAACGATGACGTATGTAGGCTTGTCTGCGACCTCTAAGAGGTCAAGACGCCGGTCTCGTTTGGGGTCTAAATTTTGGTTGTGAAAAAGTTGGTAACAGAGCACTAGGTTAAATTCCGAGAATAATAAGTTTACATCAACCACATTGAGTTGTTTCTAAGCCATGGTAGTGAATTGCACCACTATCCTGAATTAGAGACTGCATTGTGCGTAGGAAAATTTCCCTTCTTATGATCTTATTGTGCCTTTCCTAACGTTCTATTTTTGGATGTTATGAGTGTGTCTAACATCAAACCTTATTGTTTTTGGAGAATGAATACTAGGAGGAACGTTGGTCAGAGGAGGAGAGGAGTCGCTGTTGGGATCAATCAGGTTCCACCTCAGGCTCCAGCTGATGAGTAGCTACGCCAGTTAACCCAGCTGGGTTGACTGATGCGGAGGTGCCGACATCTCTGGCCCAGATGGAACATGCTATCACTATGCAAGCCCAGTCCATGACTGCCTAGGTCAACTGACAGAATGTTAAGAGGGAGAACCCACTGGTGCATAGCATGGCTGATAGGTTGAAAGACTTCACGAGGATGAGCTCTCCTATTTTCACAGGGCCTAAGACATCAGAGGACCCCCAATACTTTGTGGATGATGTGCATAAGATTTTTGTGGCTATGGGGGCCACAGATACTGAGAAAGCAGAGTTGAGTTCCTATCAGCTCAAGGACGTTGCACAGAGTTGGTGCCAGATGTGGAAGGATAGCCGAGCTTTGAGTGGAGTTCTGGTAACTTGGCAGATGTGTAAGATAGCTTTAATTGAGAGATTCTTTCCGAGGGATATGAGGGATGCGAATGTTGAAAAATTTCTCAACCTGTAGCAGGGATCAATGACAATCAGGGAGTATTCTCGGAAGTTTTTCAAACTATCCAGCTATATGATTTTGCTTAGTATCAAACAACAAGGATGAGATGAGTACTGAAGTTTGTTAAATTATCAAGGGTATGCTACTTCCCTTGTATCTGACAGTAGGGATGAGAGGAGAAAGTTCCCCACCGAAATCAACGGAGATATGGAGGAGGAGTGTCGGTCAGTGATGCTCCATGATAACATGGATCTCTCCAGGTTGGTGGTGCATGTCCAGAAGGTAGAGGATACCGCAAAAAGAGGGTCTTTCATGATTCTAGAAGGCCGAAGCCTGATGATCATTTAGGTCCCTTCCATGGAGGCCATAGAAACAATTTTGGCGTCCATGAGTAGCCAAGGTTCAAGAAGAGGCAACATAGTTATGGGAATTCTAATTCCCAGAGGAGTACAACACCTAGAAGAGGAAGACCTGAGCCCAATAAGGGAAATGGATGTGAGATACAGCCTCCCAAAATGATTTGTGCTAAGTGTGGCAGTGCTCACAGTGGAGAGTGCAAAAAAGGCAGTAATGCCTGTTTCGGTTGCAATAGGAGTGGGCATATGGTTAGAGACTGCCCACAAAATGGAGGTCGGGCTAGAGTAATCTCAGCCTAGGACTAATCCGAAGGGTGAAGCAGCAGCCGAGTCTCTTAAGAGGAACAAGTTCTGTGCCCTAAAGGGAAGGGAGGAGTAGGAGAAGTCTGCTGATGTGGTCACATGTATGTTTCAACTATTCTCAACTTCTGTTTATGCCTTACTTTGAACTCCTTTACTTGCTCTCTCTTTTGAAATATTTTCTGAAGTTCTGCATGATCCTATTGTGGTTGGTACACATTTAGGAGAAAATTTAACAACTAATAGAGTTTACAAGGATTACCCAATAGTTGTAAGTTGTAAGATTGTTTGTGCAGACTTGGTTGAGTTACTCATGCATGATTTTGATATTATCCTTGGCATGTACTCGCTTCATATTTGTTATGCTTGTTTTGATAGTTGTAGTTGAGTAGTGAGATTTCGTTTCCCTAATGAAGAGGAACTAGTCTGGGAGGGGTACAGCTCGAGTCGTCCTAATCCCTTGATTTCGAACCTTAAGGAAAATAAAATTATTTCCAAATGGTTATTACGTAATATTGTGAGTGTTAATAATTTAGATCATGACATTCCTTCCATAGACTCATTGCGAATGAGTTCCTAGATGTATTTCCTGATGATTTGCCTGGAGTCCCTCCTACTCGAGAGATTGACTTTGGTATCGACTTAGAACCCGCTACTAAACCAACTGTGATTCCTCCCTACAGATTGGCTACACCTTAAATCAAAAAGTTTAAGCTGAACTTAAAAGATCTCACTGATAAGGGTTTCATTCAGCAGAGTATATCCCGTTGGGCCGCTCCAATGTTGTTTGTGAAAAAGAAGGATAGAACCCTTAGAATGTGTATCGATTATCGACAGCTCAACAAAGTCACTATAAAGAATAAGTATCCACATCCCAGAATATATGGTTTGTTCAATCTCCTCCAAGGGTGAATTTTCTTCTCTAAGATTGATCTTCGTTCAGGGTATCATCATATTAGGGTTAGGGATAGAGATATCGTAAAGACAGCCTTTCGTACCTGTTCTTGGTTATGTCATTTGGTCTCACAAATGCACCTATTGCATTTATGGATCTCATGAACAGGGTCTTCCGTGAATACCTTGACTCTTTTGTCATAGTATTCATTGATAACATTCTCATCTACTCTAGGACCAAGGAATATAATGAACTACATTTGAGACTAACCTTGCAGGTACTTAGACAACATCAATTGTATGCCAAATTCAGCAAATGTGAATTTTGGCTTAGATCAGTAACCTTCCTGGGTCATGTTGTGTCCGATCAAGGGGTAGACGTGGACCCCAGGAAGACTGAGGTTGTTCAGAACTGGCCAAAACCTCTTACTCTCACAGATATCCATAACTTTGGATTGGCTGGTTACTACCACAGGTTCGTGGAGGGCTTTTCTTACATTGCTGCTCCATGAACAATAGAGACTTGTGAAAAGTGTTTCTAGGATCTCAAGGACAGACTCACTTTAGCCCCGGTGCTTACTTTGCCTAAGTGTGGTGAGAATTACACTGTTTATTTTGATGCATATCGGGTTAGTTTGGGTTGTTTTCTTATGAATGGTTGTAAGGTGATAGCCTATGCGTCCAGAAAGCTCAAGGTTAATGAGAAGAATTATCCCACTCATGACCTAGAGTTATAAGTTTTGGTGTTTTCACTGAAGTTTTGGAGTCACTACTTGTATGGAGTGCATATGGATGTGTTCACATACGACAAGAGTCTCCAGTACGTGTTCACACAGAGGGACTTGAATCTACATCAGCGGAGATGGTTGGAACTGCTGAATGATTATGACATAAATGTTCACTACCATCCAGGTAAGGATAATATTATAGCCGATGCTTGGAGCAGCATGAGCATGGAAAGTACAACCAACGTTGATGATGAAAAGAAGGAGTTATCGAAAGATGTACACAGACTGGCAAGACTAGATGTGCAATTGGTTGACTGTACTAGTGTGGGTGTTTCAGTTCATGTAAAGGAGGGTCAGCATCTCGATCCCGTGTTGATGGAGCTGAAGGACTTAGTGTTGATAAAAATGAATGAGTCTTTCGCTTTGGGAGGTGATAGCATACTTAGGTATCAAGAGAGACTGTGTGTACAAGATGTGGTTGATTTGCGGACTGTTCACACCCAATTTTGATCGACCTTTAACCATTTTAGAAAATGTTATTCGATTAAATATGAATTTTTTAAATTATATTTTTAGTTTAGAGTTTTAATCGGTTTTGCATAAAAAATTCATATTTTAGTATTTTTACTTTATAAAATTATTGCAAATGTTTTATAAGTAACTTTGAAATAATTATTTCATTCAAGTGTTTTAAAAGTTTAGTTATTTTCAATTAACAAAAATACTCTAATTTCTGTAGTATATTAATAAGATAGCATTTCTAAATTCTCCTCAAAATTATCTAAATCTTAGCTTATTTTATCCCATTTTATTTCAATTATAGCCACACCAATTCAAATTTTATTTCAATTATAACCATCCTCTTCCTCTCAATTCTAGACTATTTTATTACAATTTTAGTCATTCCATATCTTTGCCAATATAATTTCAATACATCATCTATTAATCTCATTCGTCTATTTAAATAATTAAATTCTAATCGAATCCTACCCCTCCATCTCTATCTTATCTAACAGTTTACATCAACTTTTTATATGTCTTTATTTAACACTAAAAGACCCAAAACCTAAAATTCTAATTCATTCTTTCTCCCCTCTCAAAACAAACCGCCGCCCCTCCCTGCTATTCCTTCTCCCGACGCCTCTTTCTTTTCTAGCGAGACTCACCACCACGTGCTGGTGGCAGCCAACTCTCTCTCCCTCTCACCTTCCTCTTCCCTCCTCTCGTCTGTCTTTCCTTTCGTATTCTCCTTTTCCTTTCCTCTTCGCTTGCAGGGACAGCATCAGGCGCAGCAACAGCCACCAGCCACCAGCCACCAGCAGTTTCGCCTAGGACTGCCAGGAAGCAGCGACCAGCAATAGTGCCTTTCCAGCGCCGCCTCGACTCCTCTTCTCCGCCTCTCGTTCTTCTTGCTCTTTTCCTTCTTTTCCCTTTCTTTTTTTTGCAAGACCAACAAAAGCCAGGGACAACGTCGGACAGTAACGACTTCAGGGAGCTCCTCAAACTGCAAGACCCTGTCACAGTTGCTGCTCAGATCAGAAAATGGGAAGCAACCCAAAGATAAGGCGGATATCCAAGGTTCGCCCTAGGTACGATTTTATTTATCCGAAATTCAATTTCCCATGAATGTGATTGCTTGTTTTTGAAATACCGTGATAAAATTTATAGTTGTGCTTTTACTGGTTTTACATAAAATATTACTTTTATCTAATATTGCTATGGTATTTGTATTCGGCACTTTTTAGTCACTCTTCTTGCTGACTTAGTGAAACAATAGCATTCATGATCTTTCTTTTTAATCTTTCACATGTAAAGTTTTGTTAAATAGTTGGTGTATTTTGTTTATCGTATTATTTCAAATAGAGAATTTTGTATGTCTACGTTTGCTGATTTTGAACCTCTATAATCTTAAAAATCTAAAGTTTGAGGGTATTGCATTATGTCTCTCATCGATATGTTTCCCTTGTATAATTTGGAAAAAGTATTTATTATGCTTAATTGGGGGATCTATTTTTATATATCTCAAAGCCAATTTAAATATGTGAATTAAGTTTGGTACTCCCTTATTCATGATAACTTGTTATGGTTACTTCGAATAGAATATATTTGACTAAATTAGTAGGAAATTCCCATGATATTTTGATCATAGATATTTGTTCATATTTGCCTTTCTTATTTAATCATATATGTTTTTGTTTGATTATGTCAATTTACCATTTTAAATTATGGTCTTTACTTGTGATATATTATGCTACTATAGTTACTAATTTCCTTTTACTTTATTTTAACTAATTTTCTGATGTCTTTTACATTTTTGGTAAAAATAATAATAATAACATCTTTTGACTCTCTTGAATTAAGAATAATATTAATTGACCTCCTTTTCCTTTATTGTTTGTGTAGATTCATTTATGGTATTATTAGGTAAATGTTTGACAACTTTAAATTATTTCCTTATAAAATTTAGTTGCTCATATGTTTGGTAAAATAATAATAATAATTCAAAATTTGATTTTACCTCTTCTTTATTAATAATAATAATAATAATAATATTCCTCCCTATTCGTAAATTATTTTCTAACTTGTTTTTATATGGTAAAATAATTTAAAAATAAATTTTATTTGGCCCTTCCTTATTCAAGGAATATATTACTCTTCCTTATTTATTTTTATTTGGTTATATTTTGTAGCATAATAACAATTTCATATTATTTTGGATATTCATTATTTAAGGGAAAATATTATTGTTTTTCCTAACTTTTATTCTTACTAGTTTATTTTTGGTAATGAATTTTTATAAAACTTTCTGATCTTTAGCTCTTCTTTATTTAAGGAAAAAATCTATTACTCTCTCTTAATTTATTCGTACTTGCGTATATTTGGTAAAAATAATTTAATTTTTTTTCGGATTTTGGATCTACTTTAAAAAACTGAAAAATGGTAATATAATTGATTCCTTGATATATTTATTTTCATTATTTGGTACCACCTCTTCTACTATATAAGATAGCCCCTTTGTATTCTTTAAACAGACACTCTCAAATCTTGAGAAGAACTCACATTCTCCAAACTCACAATAATGCATTCACTCGCTCTTAACATAAGAGTTCTCACTCTCTTACTAGTCATATTATTTCTACTCTTAAACAAAATAAGATCCCGGTAACTTTCAAGTGTTCTCTTGGCCCTTGCTTTTGTTCGAGTAAAAGTTGAATTAACTTGTTCTCGTTGCTACCATTTTTCTGCTTAATCGGTTAGTATTCTTTATTAGCATTTTACTATTGGTCAGCCTGCTATGATTATTTATTAATTTTGTTTTGTATTTATTATTATTGTTGTGTGTTGGGAATAAAAGGAAACACTCCTTATCTTTTCCCCCATGTGTGGTGATATGTCTACACCTATGTTTTATCCTTTTTATTTCTTATGTGTTGTTATTTATATATGTATATATGAGATTAATTTGTTACAATAAAAATTTTACATTACAATCATTCTTCCATTGTATACGTGTTACCTTGCTTATTCTAGCAGGTTTTGGACTTAAAGTTCAAGATGATGAAGAGTGACCTGAAGAAATTTCGAACAAAGCTTTGTTTATTATGTTTTGTATTTTTTCATCTGTTATTTTATTTACAGTATATTTGTATAACACTAAAGAAATTCATATATGATGAAATTTGAGGGATCGCCTAGGAAGGGGAAATTATGTGTTTATCTTCTTTTTTATTACATACTTGTTTGGGTCAGTCAATTGCCACTTCCTGGCATTGTTGAGTTCCAAGTTGGGGTCCTCCTTCAGGGCCCCTTATGAGTCATGTGTGCATTGGTACCCGAACATTTATAACCAAAACATGATCGTATACAAGTTTAGGACTTATCACATGAGTTTCGTCAAAAAAGAACACGTAAAACTCAACGAGACATACATAGACACACAAGGTCGTCTTAAGGCAAGCCTTTCAAACATCATGGACGATGTTATACTTTTGACCTCAAAAATTCACGAAACATGAAACACTTACTATATACAATATAATAACTCATTTAAGAACTTTATTATATCATGAATCACACGTAAATAGATAAAACCATATTTGTGGTACATAGGTCACTTAGTCGTCAAACATCTTTGTCGTCCTTTGACGTTTGACTACCAATGCACCTAAACTCTGAGACAATGCCTCTAACCCACATTATAAACAATTTTCAGACCTTAGACCATCACGACATCTATATAAGACTCTATCTTTAGCTAAATCATTCTTGGGGTCTTACAAATGGAAACAAGAACTCAAAGTGTATGTCAACATCAGCATAAATGTCAATGTAAACGTCAATATCAATGTGAATTTCATTGTAAAGGTGAATATTAATGTCAATGTGAATGTCAACGTGAATGCTAATGTGCACATGAATGTGAACATAAATGTATAAGTAAATGTGAACGTCAACGTAAACGTTAATGTGAACGTTAACGTGACCGTAAGCATGAACATGAACGTCAACGTTAATTTGTACTTCAATGTAAATGTCAACGTAAATGTGAATGTCAATATGTATGTCAACGTTAGTGTCTACGTCAATTTGAATATCATTATCAACATCAATGTAAATGTATTGTAACGTGAATGTCAATGTCAACGTGAACGTAAATGTCAATGTCAATATCAATGTCAATGTCAATGTGAACGTCAATGACAACGTCAACCTCAACTTCAACATATACATCAGTTTGAACATCAACTAAATCATCAACGTGAATGTTAATGTCAACGTCAATTCATACGCGAATGTTAAAGTATATGTTAATGTGAACGTAAACATTAACATCAACAAGAACCTCAACGTGAACATGAACTTCAATATAAATGTGGGGGTGAACGTGAACGTCAACGTCAATCTCAACATGAACATAAACGTAAACGTGAAAGACAAAGGGAACGTCAGCGTAAACGTCAATGTCAATGTAATCATCAACATTAACATGAATGTTAATGTAAATATTTATGTAAACATGAACGTCAATGTTATTGTGAATATAAATGTCAATGTCAACATTAATGTCAACATTAATGTGAACAGTAACGTGAAGGTTAACGTGAACATGAACATAAACGTCAACGTGAACATTAATGTCAACGTAAACATTAATCGGACAGCCAATATAAACATCAGCATAAAAGTCAATGTCCACGTAAACATGAATGTAAACGTCAATGAAAACATGAACATGAGCGTCAACATCAATGTTAACGTGAACGTAAACATGAACATAAATATCAATGTAAAAATGAACATGAGCGTCAACATCAATGTTAACGTGAATGTTAACATAAACATCAATATGAATGTCAAAAAGAACGTGAACGTGAACATTAAAATCAACGTGAATGTGAACTCAACTCAATGTGTATGTACTTTCAATGTTAACATTAACATCAATGTCAATGTCAACGTGAATGTCAATGCCAATATGAACATCAATGTGAAGGTTAATGTGAACGTCAACTTGAATGTGAATGTTAACATAAACGTCAACATAAATATCATCGTGAATGTCAATATAAATGTCAATGTTAATGTCAAAATGAACGTGAAGGTCAACATCATGATAAATATCAACATGAACATCAACGCAAATATCAATGTGAACGCTAACATGAATGTAATGTAAAAGTTAATGTGACCTGAATGTGAACGTCAACGTGAATGCCAACTGTATATCAACATAAATGTGAAGTTCAATGTCAACGTCATCTTTGACGTGATCGTTATTGTCAACATAAATGCGAACGTAAACGTGAACAGCAATGTGAACATCAATGTGAGCGTCAATGTGAACCCAAACATGAACGTGAATGTGAATATCAATGTGAACGTCAACAACAATGTCAATATGAACGTCAATGTAAAAGTGAACGTTAACATCAACATCAATGTGAATATGAACGTACACGTAAACGTCAACATGAACTTCCACATTAACATCAATGTCAAAATCAATATCAACATCAACATCAATGTCAATGTGAACTTCAATGTAAACGTTAGCGTAAATGTGTATATCAACGTGTATGTCAACATTAACTTCAACTTGAAAGTTATCGTAACGTGAACATCAATGTGAATATCAATGTCAATGTCAACGTGAAGGGCAACGTCAATGTGAACATCAACTTGAACATTAATGTGAATGTAAACTTCAATATGAACGTGAATAAGAACATGAACTTCAACATAATCTTAATAGTCACCCTTTAAACGTCAGCTCAAACATAAATATATACATCAGTGTGAACGTCAATGTCAGTGTGAACGTTAATGTTAATGTAAATATCAACGTCAATATAAACAACAACGTGAACGTAAACGTAAACGTCAATGTGAACATCAACATAAATGTGAACGTCAACATGAATGTAAACATGAACTTCAACGTTAACATCAACGTCAATGTGAATGTCAACGTTAAAGTAAACATCAATATCCACAAAAGTGTAAATGTAAACGTCAATGACAAGGACAACCTCACTGTCAACTTCAATGTTAATGTCAGTTAAAACGTCAACTAAAAAATCAGCATGTACATTTACGTTCACGTGAACATCAGCCTCAATGTGAAAGTAAATGTTAACGTCAATGTAAACATAAACATAAACGCCAACCAAAATGTGAACGTGAACGTCAATATTAATATACTTGTTAACGTAAACATGAATGTATATGTGTATGTTAACTTGAACATTAAGGTTAATGTCAATGTGAATGTATGTGTCCACGTCAACGTCTATATGAAGGTTAAAGTGAACGTGAAAGTGAACATAAACATGAACGTCAATGTGAACTTGAACTTGAACGTGAACGTCAAAGTAGACGTTAGCTTGAACGTCAATGTAAGCATATGCATGAACATCAATGTGAACGCCAACATTAACGTGAATATGAACGTGAATGTGAACACAAATGTGAACGTGAATGTGAACGTTAACGTTAACGTTAATGTAAGTGTCATTTTTAACATTATCATCAACATTAACATAAGTGCAAACGTATACGTCAAGATTAACATAAACATCAATGTAAACGTCAACATAAATGTCAACATGACCGCCAATATCAATTTAAACATAAACATCAACGTCAACATGAACATCAACATGAACGTAAACGTATATATCCACGTCAAAGTTGATGTCAACGTCAACATCAATGTAAACGATAACTTCAATGTAAACGTCAACATAAATATGTATATCAATGTGTAAGTTAACATTAACGTCAACTTGAACGTAATCATCAATATTAACAAAAAAGTGAACATTAACATGAACGTCAATGTGAACACCAATGTCAATGTCAACGTGAACGTCAACGTCAATGTGAACATAAACTTTAACGTTAATGTGAATGTGAACTTCAATATGAACGTGAACCAAAACATGAACGTCAACTTAAATGTTAACATGAACGTAAACGTTAGCTTGAACTTCAATGTAAACATCTGCGTGAACGTCAACGTCAATATGAACGTTAACGTTAATGTGAACATCAATGTGCACGTCAACGTAAATGTCAATGTGAACGTGAACATAAATGTTACCGTTAATATGAATGTCAATATGAACATAAACGTGAAATCCAACGTTAACATCAACGTCAATGTGAATGTCAACATTAACATAAACATCAATATCCATAAAAGTGTAACTGTAAATGTCAACAAAAATGACAACATCAACGTCAACTTCAATGTAAATGTTAGTTAAAACGTCAACTAAAAAATCACCATGAACATTTACATCAACGTGAAAGTCAAACTCAATGTGAAAGTCAATGTTAACGACAACGTAAACACTAACATGAACGTCAACTTCAATGTGAACATCAATGTCAACATCAACATGAACGCCAATGAAAATGTGAACCTGAATGTTCATGTTCAAAACTTGAATGTCAATGTGAACATGAACGTTAACGTAAACATGAACAATTATGTGTATGTTACCTTGAATATCTGGTTAATGTAAATGTAAACGTCAATGTCCACATCAACGTCTATGTGAAGGTTAAAGTGAACGTGACAGTGAATATTAACTTGAATGTCAATGTGAACATGAACTTGAACGTCAATATCAAAGTAGATGTTAGCTTGAACGTCAACGTAAGCATATGCGTGAACGTCAATGTGAATGTGAACATTAACGTGAATGTGAACATCAATGTAAATGTTAAAGTGAATATAAACATAAATGTGAACGTGAATGTGAACGTTAATTTGAACTTTAATTTAAATGTCATTTTGAACGTGAACGTGAACTCCAACATAAGTGCAAACGTATACGTAAAGATCAACATCAACATCACATAAACGCAATGTGAAAACCAATATCAATTTAAATATAAACATCAAAGTTAATGTCAACATAAACATTAATATTAAATGAACGTGAACGTCAAAATAAATGTGAACGTCAATGTGTATACAATGTCAACGTTAACATGAACATCAATGAGAACATCAGTGTGAATGTAAACATGAACATTTACAACAACATCAACGTTAATGTGAACATCAATATGAAGCTTGACGTGAACGTCAACTTAAAGGTCAACATGAACACGAATGTGAATGTGAACGTCAACATCAACGTAAACGTCCACTTGAAGGTCAACATGAACATCAGTGTGAAAGTCAACATCAACATCAACATG